GTGCCAGGGAGCCTGTGTCCCCGGGGGCCCCCTCCTTCCGAGAGGTGTTGGCAAGGGCCGCCAACGCCCACTACCTGCGGCACCGGGTGCCCCCCGAGGCTGAGCGGCTGCTCAGCATGGGGGAGATATTTGGGCACGGGGGTCCCAGGACCCAGCGCAGGGCGCCTGGAGGTCACCTCTCCGACCCTCCCGAGCCCTCAGAGTAACATGTCAGCCACTAGAGAAATGTGCACAATTTTATTTTCAATCGTTTCCCCCTTTCCCCGAATCTGCAAGGCCAGTCGATGAAAATCGAGGGGAGGGGAGTCTCCTGGGAACCGGTAAGTGATGCACCCACACCCCTGGCTAAGGTCTCAGAAATACGAATCTGCCTTGAAGAGATGGTGCCGCCCATTCTGATGCTTGTGGCGCCACCTGCTGGCCAGAGGGCACCGCCCTGGGTCCTGGGCCCCTGAGGGTTGGACTCCCGGCCTGTGCAGACCGCCTCCCTCCCAGGCGCCCCATTTAGGTTTTCTGTTCCCACCTTCCACCTGCTCACATCAAACTGGCAACCTAATCATCAACAGCTGGCAAGCAGCGTGCTCCCGCCAGCATCTCCTGCCCAGCAAAACGGGGGGCGGGTGGCAGCCCAGGGCGGCTCGGATGACGAACATGAACTCACGGGCCACGGTGGAGGCCGCGCCAGGACAGAGGCTGCGTGCACACCGCCCAGGCCGCCATCTGTGCCTCTGTCTCGTCCCCATTTTGTGTGGGTGTTTCTCCTGCGGCCAGAGCCGGAGGCCAGGGGCCAGGCCACGGCAGCCCGAGCGTGGCCGCTGCTGGGCCGTGGACGGGAACACACACTGCGCACTCCCCGCTTCGTGCCGTCTCCACTCCTGTGGACCCAGATCTGCCGCAGCCCCGCTGCAGCCCTCCACCCGCTGTGTCCAGACATTTCACGTGGTGCCACCCCGTGCCTGACCTGTAGCATCTGAGCCGTGACACCCCACCGTCTCTAATAAAAACTTCGTTGTCATCATTCCAGAAAACGCTTCCTTCCCTCGTGCACATTATGGCGCTCAATTCTCACCCTCCCATGGGCAGAGGAAGCAGACAACCCGCCCCCTGCACTCAGGGACCTGGGTGTCCGCCAGGCGCTACTGCCCAAGCCAGCCCTGCCCTCGGGGCCCGCTTCACCCTCTCTCCACAGGGAGGGTCCAGTCCTCATTTTTGCCTACAGAATGTCCAACTTTATTGAAAATATCTTTAGCAACAAAATTAGATTATAATAAAAATTTCATACTTCAAAATGTATAGAAATTATATTTAAATATAATTTTTCACTGTTATTGACTCATCCGAAACTTCACTCACTTTATTGTGTCCCAGGTGTTGGTTATATTTAGGGTAAACACATCTAAGCATTTCAGCATTTTGTCTTCATGTCATGGAAACAAAGTCTGCTTCTAGCAACAAAATTAGATTATAATAAAAATTTCATACTTCAAAATGTATAGAAATTATATTTAAATATAATTTTTCACTGTTATTGACTCATCCGAAACTTCACTCACTTTATTGTGTCCCAGGTGTTGGTTATATTTAGGGTAAACACATCTAAGCATTTCAGCATTTTGTCTTCATGTCATGGAAACAAAGTCTGAATCGACTTCCGACCACTGCTTCTGACCACTGCCAACACCAGCTGGAAAATTTTATTGAAACATAAGATGTGAGTAAATCATTCTTGCCCAAGTTTACATCCATTAAAACACGGGCATGAAAATGTGTTGGTCAGTAATGAACAGATTTGCAGATGGTGTTAAGAGCCAGGCCCATGGTAACACGGACTGACCTCAATGTCAAGATGACGCTTTTAAAATACGGTAAGAAAGCCCGGCGGTGTGGCTAGGTGGTGAGCGCTGACCCATGAACCAGGATGTCACGGTTCAATTCCTGGTCAAGGTCAGGGCGCATGCCCAGGTTGCAGGCTGAGTCCCCAGTAGGGGGCATGCAGGAGGCAGCCAATTGATGATTCTCTCTCATCGTTGATGCTTCTATCTTTATCTCCCTCTCCTTTCCTCTATGAAATCAATAAAAATATATTTTTAAATTGTCACCTTAAATTTAAAAAAATTGTAAGAAATAATTGAGGCGGCCCCAGCACACTAGTTCCTTAGTTCCTGCGACAGCCAGGTGGCGCCTGAAGGAGAGGCCAGGCTGGAGCCTGGGACTGGTAGGAGCAGTGGGAAGATTAAGGGAAAGGCCTAAGAAAATGCTCCTGGGACAAGGGCACAGCTGAGCCTGTCACTCAGAGTGGCCGTGTCCCCGCCAGGACCGGCCAACAGGAGGACCCGTGTGCCCACATGTTGGCTCCTCGAGGCCAGGCCTGGCCCAGAGCCCGGCTGGGGCTCCAGCTGGTGGGACAGGAGCCCCGACAGGAGGTGGCGGCTGGGGGCTCTGGCTGAGCTGGGTGGGCCACCATTCTGGAGAACAGCCAAGTGATTTTCACTTGTGAACCTTTTCCACAAGCACACACAGCCTTGGAGAGAATGCCGGACAGAAGGGAGACGGAGAGTTCACTTCACCACAAACAGCACCATCCCCCACGCCAGGGCCCGGGCACAGGACAGAGGGGCGCGTGCTCCGGCCACCGGCCACCGTCGCTCTGCTAGTCGGTGCTCAGCAGGGTGGCCCGCAGGTGCCTCTCCAGCTCCAGGAGGCTCCGGTAAAACTTCTCAGCAGTGTCGTCGTCGAGGTCCATCTGGAAGGGAACCGGAAACGGTGGCGGGGAACGACACCAACACTCTGGGAACGGGCAGGCGCTCGCCCGCGTAGAGGACTGAGGCGGCCACGGGGAACGGCCGGAGCCCCCCCGGGACAGCGGGCAGCCTACCTTCTCCGTCGTCACGTAGTTGCTCCCGAAGCCGGTGGTGGCGCTCAGGTACTTGGTCTGAGGGTTGAGGGACTCGGGCTTCTGGCGGAAGAGCCACACCTGGAAAGGAAGAGGGCGCAGCCGGTGGGGACTTGGACTAGAAGTCCTCTCGACCAGCTCGCTGTCACGGCTCCACGACCCGCTGCTGGGACTTGAAGGGAGAGGGCGGCCTGCTTGACGGCATCCTTTGAAAAGCACCTGAAGCAAAAGCCTCTTCTCTTAATCCCCAAATTAAAGCTCATGGCGCCCCGCTCACCAGGTAACTCACAGAAACAGCGGTCGCCTCAGTGACAGACAAGCACCGGCACTCCACCGGGAGCCCCCCTTCCCGCCGCGCCTCCTCTCGGTCCCCCCCTCTCCGTCCCCTCTTGGGAAGCAAAGGCGACCAGCATCTCGTGTTCACCCACGACCGCGCATCTGCTGGAAGCAGGGCCTCTGCTCGCCCTGACAGGGAAGCAGGACCCCACACCCCGCAAGCGTCCGCAGACATTTTCATCAGGGTGAGCGGGTCTGCTTCATTCTCTTTCTAAGCAGCCAGCATTCCATAATCTATATAATCAGCTTCCAATGGACGGACGTACAGGTCTTTGCTGTCACAGCCGCACTGTGATGAGGGACAGTCCAGCATTACCTGGAGTCTGAGCACACAGAGACGATAAACACCGAAGCCGGAATGGCTGGGTTTGCGCACTGACCGTGTTCACTGTCCTGCGGGGTCCACCGACCCGAGCCCAGAGCCAACACTGTCAACTCCCTCATCTCCACCCTCGGAGTTGGAAGCTTCACTGTGACTCTGGTTTGCATTTCTCAGTGTAAGACTGAGCGTCTCTTCCTACGATTAAGGCAGTTTAAAGTTCTGTTGGTGGCCTTTGCCCCTTGTCCTGAAGGAGCGCTGGGGAGTGAGGGACAGACACACAGAGAGTGACTAAGTGGGGGACTTCACCCAGACGGTGCGGCCAGCGGGCCCTGACCCAGCAGTAGAGGACCCTGGGGACGTCCTGTGTGTCCGACAGAAACGATGACCGTGAGCCATTAGCAGCGTCGGCCCCAGCGAGGGAGCGCAGCAGCCCCGGCCGGAGCACAGTAAGTAAATGCACTGGTTTCCCAACAGTAACAGTTCGACTCCGATGTCCGTCCCAGGAAGTGGCCTGGGCTTTGCTGCCTCTAGACCAGTGATGGCGAACCTTTTGAGCTCGGCGTGTCAGCATTTTGAAAAACCCTAACTTAACTCTGGAGCCGTGTCACATATAGAAATTTTTTGATATTTGCAACCATAGTAAAACAAAGACTTATATTTTTGATATTTATTTATTTAAATGCCATTTAACAAAGAAAAATCAACCAAAAAAATGAGTTCGCATGTCACCTCTGACACGTGTGTCATAGGTTCGCCATCACTGCTCTAGGCTGACCCACAGGTGACCTCCCGGGGAAGCTCGAGTGCCGGCCACCACCGCCCTGGGGCCCCCACCTACCAGGGCCTCGGCTCCATTGTACGGCGTCAAGGTGAAAGCGTTTGCAAAGAAGCGAAGCTGATGGGAGAGAAAATAGGCGTCATTCCGTGGGGGTTTAGAACAAGGCCCAAAAGCAGCAATCATCACACATTTAAAGACAACCTGCACTTCTTCTCCCTGAACATGTAAGTGTCGAAGTAAAGAAGTCTAAAACAGAAATGGCACTTAATCCCACCCTCCAGGCCAGCCCCTGGAGCGCGGAGGCGTATTCCTCCTGCCTCTTCGCGCCTGGCGATGGAGGGCGTTTTCTGAGCTCCACATGGAAGGACAGTCCCTCAAAGGAGCCTTTTCTAGTGGCTGAAGGCACTCCTGCGAGAAACGCTCAAAACACAAACCGGAAGCGCTGACCTGTGGCTCTGGCCGTGAGCACACACACGGCCTCCCGGGAGCTGTGTGCACGTGCACGTGACCACACCGAGCACGCGAGGAAGCCTGTAACCACCATGCAGCCAGGTTCCCACTCACACGGCCCTAGGGCTCCTGCGCCCACAGAGCACGCTCAGGGGAGCGCGCCCTCCCAGAGAAGGGACGGGCAGTGTGGGGTCAGCTGGGGGGAAGCAGAGGCTACTTGCCATGGACTTCAATCCTCCAGGGACGTGAGGTTCTGCCACCTCCCGATTCAATTTCTGAAATCATTTCCCAGCCCCCACACACCCTTCAGTCCCGAGTGGAACCGCTGCATAAACAGAGAAAGGAGGCGCTGGGCGGGGCGCACTCACCAGCCATATGATCGGCATTATCAGTGTCCACACGAAGCGGGGCAGGATCCCGTAGGTCAGGTTGGTCAGCATGGTCCCCGGGCACACCACGCTGGAGAACAGGCCCTGCGGGTGCAGGGACAGCGGGCAGGGCTGAGCTCGGGGCTCGGGGCGCAGGGACAGCGGGCAGGGCTGAGCTCGGGGGGCGCAGGGACAGCAGGCAGGGCTGAGCTCGGGGCGCAGGGGCACAGGGACAGCGGGCTGGGATGAGCTCGGGGGGCCCAGGGACAGCGGGCAGGGCTGAGCTCGGGGGGCGCAGGGACAGCAGGCAGGGCTGAGCTCGGGGCGCAGGGGCACAGGGACAGCGGGCTGGGATGAGCTCGGGGGGCCCAGGGACAGCGGGCAGGGCTGAGCTCGGGGGGCGCAGGGACAGCAGGCAGGGCTGAGCTCGGGGCGCAGGGGCACAGGGACAGCGGGCTGGGATGAGCTCGGGGGGCCCAGGGACAGCGGGCAGGGCTGAGCTCGGGGGGCGCAGGGACAGCAGGCAGGGCTGAGCTCGGGGCGCAGGGGCACAGGGACAGCGGGCTGGGATGAGCTCGGGGGGCCCAGGGACAGCGGGCAGGGCTGAGCTCGGGGGGCGCAGGGACAGCAGGCAGGGCTGAGCTCGGGGCGCAGGGGCACAGGGACAGCGGGCTGGGATGAGCTCGGGGGGCCCAGGGACAGCGGGCAGGGCTGAGCTCGGGGGGCGCAGGGACAGCAGGCAGGGCTGAGCTCGGGGCGCAGGGGCACAGGGACAGCGGGCTGGGATGAGCTCGGGGGGCCCAGGGACAGCGGGCAGGGCTGAGCTCGGGGGGCGCAGGGACAGCAGGCAGGGCTGAGCTCGGGGCGCAGG